GATTTTGTAAGATTCTCTTTTAAAATTGCCATACTTCAGTGTCTGGTGACTAGAAGACAGTTTGGCATGTTGGCCACCCGACAGCAGATACTGCTGATCATCTGTGAGGCTAGCAAGATCCGTAAATACTGTTGTTACAGAGATACGCAGATATTTTATTTTCTAAATATTTTAAACCCATATTGATATATAAAATATTAGAGATTAACAAAAATTGTGTTGCTTAAACTGCTAAGGAAATAGAGAATTTTTTCAAGTATGTTTAGGGTTGTAGTTCTTGATGACTCCGTCCTTTGCCCTGGCAGAAGACAGCTGCTCTATCGCATGGGCTCTGTTTACTTGTCGTGCTTTATAACTGCTGCGTTCCCCACAAAACTTGAAAGAATGTCACTCGCTTATTTTTTTGATGAACATTGCTACTCTAAGTTGCAACAACGTAGAAATATAGTGTGAGTACTTGAACTTTAATAGCTTGTCAGTTAATGTTTGTCGTTTGCTCTGCAGATGGTTCTGACTCCAGAGACAAGCCAAAGCTCTATCGTCTACAGTTAAGTGTCACTGAAGTTGGAACTGAAAAATTTGATGACAATTCCATTCAGGTATGGGGCGGGGGGGAAAAAGCAGACTCAGATGACAGAACTGATGTGATCTTTAGTCAGTCGTCTTCAGTTGTGGAAACTACTAAAATATTCTGTGAATCTTGAATCGTTTAAGTCTTTTGACAGTGATCTCAGACTTTCTTCTAAGATGCTTATTGATGAAGAGCAGAGAAGTTACCCTTCAAAGCTAGCAGGGTGAAATATTGCTGCAATTTCATGTTAGTGGTCAGAGCTCCTTGATTGATTTTATTTCCTCCCATTTGCTTTAAGAAGAAAGTAAGGGTTTCACCATTTAAAACGGGTTGTTCTTTTTCGTCACTGGATCAAATGGTACGTGTCAGTGTTACCCTAACTGCTTAACGGCTTTCAAGTCCTAGTTTCCACCCCTGTGAGTGAGGTGGGATTTCTCAAATGTATAAAACTGGCACAGCTGTATGAAGTTCGTGCCGGGGAGTCTCTGACAGCACCCTGAGTCCACGTCGGGGCAGTCGGTTGGCTTGTAAATACTCGCGTCGTGAGACTTCACGGCGAAACAGCGAGTGGCAGAATACGGTTCTGCACAGCGTATGACCAAAAAAGTGAAAATCATTTCGTTAAGGGATTTCTGCTGCACATTTTAGTTAAATGTGTGTTTTATTACCTGTGTTGCAAGGAGAATTGAAGTGAAACTCAACTGATTTTAGTACCAATTACCTGTGTTAAATTTGTAAGCAAGCAAAGTTAAGTTACTGGTCTGTAGATAGGGTGAGCTGCAGCTCCATCTTTTTGTTTTAATTTCTGCTGCAGTATCATCTAGTTTATTCCATGTTAATTAATTCTATTTCCAGTTATTTGGTCCAGGAATTCAGCCTCATCACTGTGACCTCACCAATATGGACGGAGTTGTGACTGTAACCCCGAGAAGCATTGATGCCGAAACCTACGTGGAAGGTCAGCGTATCTCCGAAACCACCATGCTGCAGAGCGGAATGAAGGTTCAGTTTGGGTCATCTCATGTATTTAAGTTTGTGGATCCCACTCAAGACCATATTATTCCAAAAAGACCAGTTGATGCGAGTCTAATGGTCAAAGGTCCAAGGCACAAAACTGGGTGAGTCATACAATTTGTTTTCTTCCCATTGAGGCAAAGGGGTGAGCCTTGGAAAAAACAGAGGATGAGAGCATTGTAAACGGCCTGTGAGTAGAGTATGACTTTAAATGAGTTCTGAGTAGCTGCTTTGAAGTGTTAAATATATTTAATAACTATTTTCATGCTTGAGCTCCACCTTGTGATTTTTTTGAGGATTAGCAAGTGTCTTTTTCGGTACAAAGTATTAAGACAAGTTTTCCTGAAGCTCACTTTTGTGTTAACAAGAGTGGAAAGCCTTATTTTAATGTATTTAGAAGTTCATCCAACCTCCAGGAAAAGTAAAGAATTAGCTGAATGTTTGCAGAGAGCCTGGTTTTTGTTTTTTCTTAGATAGTAACTTTTAAAATTCCGCTGGAAGGATTTGCAAATGAAATAGGGCAGTCACGAAATGAGATTGTCGAGATGGGGAGCTAAATGTCTCAATATAGCCATCATTATTTACAGTGTGTTTACTTACCTTGTAGTTTCTATGTTGCAAGGACTAACAGTCCAGAAGTCCATCCTGGTGTTTCTCAGTATATTCGTATTTTTTATAGGTCTAGAATAAAAATACTGATTACGAGTTTAGGGACTGTTCATTTCAGTGGTTATAGAAATATTCAGAAGAAACCATCTTAAAATCAGACTGTACAGCATGGAATAAAACACATCGTATCTTCCATCCTCTCTGGGTCCGTATGAGAGTACTGGTGCAGTATGCTGTGGTTTAGGAGAGCAACAAATTGGCTTGGAGATGAATGAGAGAAAGATACCGAGGAAAAGGGGCTCCTCTGGCTAATCTGCTGGCTTAATGTGGGGGTGTACTTTAACCTTCATCGTTTTTTCTCCACTTTAATGTGGAAGGACACTGTGTGCTTGTTGCAGGACCTGTCTGCAAGAAGACCTCCAGCCATTTAACTGTCGTAATATTCCTGCTTAAATCTGGGGTTCATTACAAAGAATCACAGCATGGTCGGGGTTGGCAGGGACCTCTGGGGATCACCCAGCCCAACCCCCTGCCCAAGCAGGGTCACCCAGAGCAGGCTGCACAGCACCGCGTCCAGGTGGGTCTTGAATATCTCCAGAGAAGGAGACTCCACAGCCGCCCTGGGCAGCCTGGGCCGGGGCTCCGTCACCCTCAGAGGGAAGAAGTTCTTCCTCATGTTCAGACGGAACTTCCTGTGCCTCAGTTTGTGCCCATTG